TGGTGTTATTTGTTTTTTGTTTCGTTTGTTGTTGTTTTTTGGCAAGTTGTGCACGACAAAATTCGACAATCGTTTTGCATGTAGGCAACCCATTAGTTGACAGACCGCTTCGAATGTGTGAGTTCGTTTGGCAGGTGGCATAGCAAAGGGTTTTCTTTCAGTATGTGCAGTTATTTGATGACTTACCACTACACAAACAAACCGGTGTAGTGTATGTAAAGTGACTAGAAGAGCGCATTAAAAAAAGTAAATAGCGGAAAATATAAAACCTTGATTTAAGTGCTTTTTACCCAACACACACTATAATTAAAGGAACTCAGCAGCGCAGAAGCCGCACCGGAAAGTGAGCAAAATAAAAACACAACAAATACAACCAAACACGCTGATTTGCTTTGATGCAGCAGTGATTTTGTAAAATAAAAATAAATAAAACCATTTTACGATTTTTAAAACCACTTAAAAGCATTTTCGTACATTAAAGAAAGCAAATGCAGGTAAACTTTTGCAAGCGTGTGGTGGAAAAGTCGAATAATGCGACGATATTCGCTTAAGGCGAGCATGTGTGAGGCTCGGCATACTTGCAGGCTCGTAAGCATTGTTGGTGGCTTTGTGACATGTCATGTCGTTACTGCCCGCATTGCCACAAAATAGCCCAGTACTCACGTACATCTGCAGTTGCGGCGGCACACACACATGACTACTCACGAATGCACGGACCGAGTTGGCGAGTACAAAAGGTCTGAAGTCTTGAGTGCTGTCAACTGAAAATCGTGCAAAAGTCCGGCATGCCACACATTGCACATTGGACATGACATGCCTCAGGTGCGACATGGCGCAAATGGACAGGCATTTCTTCGCCACAACACACACATGTGAACATGCGGACATTTATAAGTGTGTAAACACCCAGTAGGAATCGAAAGAAGTTGGAAACTCAAATGAGGAATCAGTCAGGTTTCCTCTCTTTAACTATAACAGTTGTTTTAAGCCTTCAATATATATATGACATAGAGTTCAGCAAAAAGGAATAAGTCAGCTGAGAGCCAATAGCATAACTTTTTCATTGATAAGCAGGTTTCCCGACCTCTCACTGACTGCCTTTTGCTAGGAAAGGTTGGTAGATGGCATCTTCTTTCCATATTTGTATTTCGAAGATATTTTATATAATTTTTTCGATGCTATCGGCATAAGCTGAAATTGTAGTATAGATGAACTATCATGAGGCCTACACGGTTCCGCGGTCAAACAGCAGAAATATTATCAGAGATGGACCAACATGGCCCCTGGCCGTAGCTAACGGCATATAACCATTCAAATACTTTGTTTATCGAACAATTAGGCAATATATATTGGAGGTTATATGGATGTTTTTATTTCAAAAGTTCTTCTTTTAAATCTCACTAATTACTGGGTTTTTAAGTTTTAGATTATAGATTTGGTTTACTTTTAACTAATATTATTCAAAGGCCTGAAAAATCAATTTGCTTGTGCCATATCCGACTAGATCATATGATGTCTCACCTGAGAAATGATTGAATTTCGTTCGTTTACTTTAGAGCTGTCAAGTTCATACGGACGAAGGTGGATACGAAATAGACAACAATCTCTCCCTAAGAATTAGTATTAGGCTTCTTAAGAGTATAACAACCAATTCCCAATAAGAACTATGCATATGTGAAAATGCAAACTACAACTCACACTGGGGTCAAGACTAGGTTAAATTCGGAAGTACACAGCACTTCTTTCTATCGACCGGTGGGCAGAGAAATTTGGTAATTATATTTCTATTGGCAGAGAGTCTTCAACCGCCTATTTGGCTCGGAGAATTCAGTCAAAGCAACGCAAATATATTCTACCATATATTGGTTATGAAATTTTCAAGGGAAAACACCGGGCAGGCTCATCGGCTTTGAAGAGACCCGATTTGTCACTGAGTCCGATATGCAAGATACAGCATATGGACAATGTAATTTCTTGTGGCCCATTTACCGATCATAAATTTTCCTACAGGGCTATCACAACTACTTCTACAATGTGTAACGTGAAAAATACATTGATATACACGCACATGCATCTGCAATGGCTTGTGAAATTCCGCAAACGTCTCTGGTTATGCCGGGTTAAATTGCATAATACAATTTGCCGCATATGTCATGTGCCAGAGACTTACTTTTCCATTTGTACTGCTCAGCTCTATGTTTGCTTCTTTCCGTGCGCTGCAATCCTCACTGCCACTTTACTCATTTACTTATCTTGCCTTGCACACATTTAGCAGTTGCATTCCTATGGCTCTTTGAGATATTTTTGACCATCCATTAACTTCAATTAATTTGGCAAAAACTCTGTGGATTTGTAGTTAACGAGCCGGTTGAATTGAACAAGTAATGCAATTGCTGTGGAAAATTCTCCACTTTGAGAAAGTAAATCATACACTTTAAACGTAATTAAACGGGGAACAGCAGGGGTTAATGCTGTCGAACTTAATATTCGTTTAGTTGCTTTTTCTCTCCTGTTGGCATGCTGTATACATATACACTTTTTGAAGTGGCAATAAATGATTAGTTGGTCATTTACTCTATATCTATAAGTTGAAAACCTGATGACGAATACACGGTGATTACTCCATGTTGTTTCACAAGGAGGTCATTTTAGAAACTGCTTTGAAGACAGTTTTTGATTTTTGGATTTGAGATATTTTTAAGCAGTAAACCCTTCCTTACTGATAGACACCTGTTATGGACGTTTTATGGTGTTTGGCTCGGTATCATGGAAAGCCGAACATTTATAAAAAGCATCAACGATTATTAAAGTAGATTAAATTCTATTTTTTCAGACTTGCTAGTGGATATAACACCTTGGTAATATTTTTTGTAGGCTTAAGTCAAATGTCACTACATTTTACTTCAAATATTAACTTTTGGCTTTTATTTGTTCAAACCGAGGTTATTATTCCGTGAAGACCTTCTCTTATGTAGTAGGTATAATTTCAAACTTTTCTAATTTATTGTATTATTTTGGAATTCTTCTTTAGTTATGTAAATTTTAGTTTAAATTCCACCAACTTGTCACTTTAAAAAGCATAAGTATTTTCACTTAATAAAAATTTTCACTTAATAAACATCGAGTGGAGAGAAGAAAGTTTGGGGTAAAGTGTATACTAAAATGATCTATGATCTATCTAAATATAAATGTTGTTAACAAAAACAAAAAAAAAAACTGTTAATTGTAATATTTTTAGGTTATATGGACATTTATTAACAGAGTAACTAGAGTTACCATATTTCATTAAAAACAGAAATTGTATTCAATATAAAAGGAATTTAGAACTAAATCTTCGTAACGGCAAAAAATTAATATTACAAAATTAATATAATTACCATATACTCTGAAAGGGTATAGTAAGTACAGGGTATAAACAAGTATAAGTGAGTAAGTTTGCCACGAGGTTGGTAACACCCAAAACGAAACGTCGGAGACTCTATAAAATATACACATAAATGTATAAACAGCTGCCTGTCTATCCGTCCGTGTGTACATATGCGAACTAGTCTCTCAGTTTTTGAGATATAAATCTGAAATTTTCCACACGTCTTTTTTTCAACAAGGAGTTGCTCATTTCTTGGAACCGTCGATATCGGACCACTATAGTATGTAGCTGCCGTACAAACTGAACCATTGGAATCAAGTGCTTGTATAGAAACATTTTTCATTTGACGAGGTATTTGCAAGAAATTTGATAGAGCCTATTATCCAGGGAATCGCTACAATCTCCGAAGATATTGTTGAAATCGGACGACAGTAGCATATAACTGTCATACAAACTGAACGATCAAACTACTAAACAAGTACTTGTATGAAAACTCTTTTATTTTTTAAGGTATCTTCATAAAATTTTGCACAGATTATTATCCAAGCATTACAACGCTTTCCGAACAACCAAGGAAAAAATGTTTTTTATTTCATATTTTTTATGAAACTTATATTTAGCTAAAACAAATGCAACGAATGTTGAAACAAAAATCTCTTACTACTCCTTGTTAAAAGCAAACTTTCAAAAGCACCAGCTTGCATTTAAATGCTTAAGACTGAATGCCAAACTTTACAAATTGCGAGTACTTAGGCTACTTAAGAAATTATGTACTTTTCGAATAAACTCGTTGCACTTGTTTGTGAAACACCACAAAAATGCCATTTCCATTTCCACTTAGATGGCGCGTAAACTGTTTGGTGGTATGTGTGCCCTTTATTTTTGTTGTTGCTTGTTGCTTGTACTCATACCATGAGTGCTACATGGCTACGTATATCTTAACTATTTTATTTTCATTTATTCTTTTATTCACCTAAATACAAAATCAACATTTTCTCTGCATTAGTTGAGAGAGACGACCACTACGACTACGACTAGAGCAGTGGTGTGGAGGGGCAAATGCGAAAAGAAAATCTAAACATCAACAGACAACGGACAAATATGCTTAAGCACTTAAGTAAGCACACATGGCAGCAAGTTATGGGCAACAAGCAACATTTTAAGTGCATGGGTGTGGCTGGTTAAAGCGAAAGAGAAAGAGGAGAAGAGGAGTGCAGAGTGGGGTTGTGGGCAGTTGCAAGCATACAACTATGCATAGTTAATAGTTTATTAGAAGAAACATTTTATAGAGAATATACCTTGTATGAGTGTGAGAGTGTGTGTGTGTGTGTGTGTGTGAAGTAGTCACATCGTGCGCCTGTCTGTATGCTACTGTCAGTGCAGCAAATTGAGACGCAGCATGAATGCGAAGAAAAGTTTCGAGTACTTTTTCCTGTGTGGCTGTGTGTGAAAAGCACTTGTTACTTAGCGTACAGCTATCATGTGTTTTTTGTTTGCCCTTCTTTCTTTTGTGTATGCACTTTCTAATTTCGAATTGTACATATCCTTTTTCCTTGTTCGTTTTGTGTGTTTCTGAGTGCCCTGAAATTGCATGTTAACTTATTTTCTTTCTTTGCTTTTGTTTCAATTGCAGATTGGCGAGTGCCGAGCGAGCAGAACTACAGCTGAACAAGTGAAACAACGGTGGCAATTGCTGAGTTCTTGTGTCGCAACAAAAAACGAGCTACAAAGTTTGCTGGCAGTGGTGTACGCCGCGGGCAGTGAGGCAGTGAGACAGCGTGTGTGGTGCGCGCGTGTGTGAAATGGCAGGGGCGAGTAAGCGTGCAGTGGCAGCAGCAATAAATAAGTAAACAAAAGAAAACGAAAAACAAAAACAAACATAAGCGCAACAAAACTAGAACAAAGGCGGATTAGTCGAGCAAACTGCAGCAAGGAAGAAAAACGCGTCAGCACTAAGCGCAGCTTGTTCGGAATAAGCTTAGTGGCTTGCCTTTGTAAGCGGCTAAAACAACATTGTATGTGTTGCATGTCAACCTAGCTTAGCGAATTACGTGAGTCAAACAGCAGGCGATTGCAGCAGCGCGCTGAGCACTTACAGATATATAGCGCACATTTTTGACTTTGCCACCAGCTGTTTTGTTGGCCCTCAACACATTTGACAGTTGCAACAGTTGCAGCAACAGCTAGAACGGCAATAGCGTGCGTGACCTGAGCCAAGCAAAGCAAACACTGCCACTCCTAAATACGTGCGCTAATTGAAAAATAAAGCGCGCATTAGAAAAATAACGGTAAACAACGGCAGGTGTGAAATCGCGAGCAAGAGAGAAGTGTTGGAAGGTAGCAGCGGCAAAAGCTCAAAGCTGAAAGTCAAGAGTTCAAAAGCGCAAAAGCCACGGCGAAAGCGCAATCACCGCATCCGCTAAACTAACAAGCATTTTTCAATTGCAGCCGAAGCAGCTGCTGCAGAGGGAGTGAGGGAGTTCTGAAGGGCAACCCAGTGGCGCGAACACGCGCTTCACAACCCCACGTAAATCGCTTGACACACGCTCAATCGCTGCAATTTGTGACGCACTGAAGTGGGAATTGCAGCGCGGCGGCTGTGAGTGGATACTGAGCGCGGTGTAGTTAAAGCGCATATATACCGAGGCAATCGTGTGTGAGCTGTTGACCTGTTAGGGCTGAACTGTTGTGTTGTGTAGTGACGTCATTTAATTTGCTGGCGAAAGTTGTGCAAACACCGCAGGGTTAAGCGTCGGCCTAGTTTCGCGCCATCGTGTCGTACAGTTGTGAGCCGGGTCGTAATATAAACGCGCGTCGTTTCGGTTTGTCATTCGCAAGATACGAGCGTGCATATGTGTTTACTCGTGGTAGCAAGCAATCACTGTGCATACATACACCACATATATTAGTGTCTATGCCCGAGCGGCTGCTAGTGTGTGCGTCCGCGCTTCTTTAAGCAAACACAAACACTAAGTCCAGTCAAGCGGTAGTCAGTCGTCTATCAGCTGAGTGCACATCGAGTATATCTCGCGCGCACAGCCAGCGCCAGTCCAGCAGTGTTAAAAAGGTGTACGTGTACACCGCCATTCAACTGTTATATTTTGCGTACCTCGTACATTACACTAGCCGATTCCGTACTCACCACCTGTAGTTAGCATGGCTCACCCAACGTCCTTGCTGGCAGGCGCGTCGTTAGCCGCGGCGTCATCTTTGTCTTCGCGTCAATACAGTGTCGCGTCGTCGTCCAGGCTGAGCGGCGATATCGGTCGTGGTCTATTCGCCATTGTTGTGCTGCTGTTGCGTATGTCCTCCGTGTATGGCGTCATCGATCGTTTGGTGGTGCAGACATCGAGCGGTCCGGTGCGTGGTCGCTCCGTCACCGTGCAGGGTCGAGAAGTGCACGTGTACACAGGCATACCGTATGCCAAGCCACCATTAGATGATTTACGATTTCGCAAACCGGTGCCAGCGGAGCCCTGGCACGGTGTCTTGGATGCAACGCGACTGCCGGCAACCTGTGTGCAAGAAAGGTAAGCGTAAATTCCGCAAAGGGTCTAACCAGCAGCGCTCTATTTCGCTCAGTCATGACAGTTGGTAAATGAAAAGCCAAAATAATTGGCTGTTGCCAGTGGCAAGTGGCAAAATTGGTGCTCCATTTGTGGCACTTGCTGAAAAGTTTCAAATAATAATATAAGTTAAGCAACGCTTGTTGTTGCAGTAGCGGCACAACATGACCAGCAATTTATGGTCATATTTTGTGTTATTAATGACAAGCGTTAGGTGCGGTGCACACTTAGCTCTGCATAACGGTGTAATAATTCGCATGCAACTTTCTGTGCTATCATAACGCTTTTATGTTGACTTAACTGATGGGTGCTCAATTAATTTATATTTGGTTTTCTGTAGTCGCCACCTCTGTGTGCTGCCTCGAGTATGCTTTCAGTTTTGCACAGTTTTTCCTAATTTTCGTAATGTGCGTCATGCATCGACTCCATTAATTTGGTTCACAAGTAGAAACTGTTCGCAAATACAAATATTTGAAGTAGCATGTTTCATTAATTAGAGGTGATTGCATAGATTTCACTGTGATAGTTCAAAGTTCTCTCAACTTCGTCGGTTTAATCACAAAAAAGCCTATACCAAAATGAGTTCATAATGCTCAAAACTACGGAGGACTACTGTAACAAACCATATTATCTTTTGGACAAGTTCGAACCAAAACCAACATTTTATTCCCCCCCAGACTACAGCCAGTAGTAACAACATATTAGTTGGTAACATCAGTAAATTCAATTTCAGACGTTATATTTCAAATCAAGATTGAAACTGTAGATTAAATAACTAATCTATTAATTATGAAAGAAGTGGAAAATATATGGAAGAGTGCTTCATCTTCGGTTTTGGATTTAATGCCATTCTGAAAGGCATCAGTTCATTTAACTTTACAATAGACAAATCAGACAACAATGAGCATATATGAGAGAATATATCGATTATTGTAAAGAAATGCGGTTTTAAAATAGGAAAATTTGTTTATAAATTACAAAACCGCAAAAATTTTTGGCAAACAAGCAAGATATGATATACTTGTAGATAAGACTAAGTTGGATTGGTAATACAGAATATAGAATTAAAAAACAATTATAGTATATAGTTTTTCGGAGAAATGGAGATATTTCACTCAACTTTAATTCTTACAAATTTAATCGTATTATAAAATATCGTTTTTCCATAATTATTTTTGAAGCAGAATCGTCATCGAGGTTCATATGGGTACTTATTAACGCCCGATCTTTATATGACTTTTCCCAACCAACTGTATTAGTTGGGTGGTAATAACGCCAGCTTGAGTTTACCTTAAAGAGAGCAGTAAATGTAAATTTGTCAGTAATTCAGTCTTTTCCGTAAATTCTTATACATAGTTTGTTACATGCTTTTGAGTTTGACTCTACTTACTACTAAGCAGCGTTGAAATTAATGCATTCAAAAGATAATTGAATTAACATTGCAATTAAAGGTTTTTTTAATGTGTAATCTTGAAATTTTAATTCATAATAATTTTAGAGTTTGCAATCCCAAATACAGAATTGAAATATTAGAACTAAATTTTTAATTTTCAAAATCGCACTAAAAATTAAAAATAAAATTTTAATCCTAAATACAGGATTGTACCTACGCAAATCGTAGTTATTCAGTAAGAAATATTTAGAAATTTGCTTATTATCCCTTAATATGCCAGCTTTTTATTTCAAACGTAAAATTTTAAATTAAAAAATATTTAGAAATTTGCTTATTTTCCCTTAATATGCCAGCTTTTTATTTCAAACGTAAAGTTTTAAATTAAAAAATATTTCATAATTTTTTAATTCCAATTTTGGGCTTAAAAATAATTTTCTAATAAAACCAAAAATCATAAAAAATTACCAATTCTGCTATTAGGAATGAAAAACAGATTGAGACGCAGCAATTTTGATATGTTAATATGTTAAATTCTGACAAAAACTTTATAGGAGTTATAATAATAATAATAATAATAATAATAATAATAATAATAATAATAATAATAATAATAATAACCCAACGATTACCCTCCTCCCGCCCAATCGACGCGAGGGGCGCAATCCGCATTTTCGAGAGTATTTATGGACAATTATTTTGTCTTTTAGCGGTATTCTTTCGATAGGCATTAACTGCTGTTCTGTAAATCTACGATTTTCATGAAAAAATTCTATTAAAATCTATTAGACATTCTCAAGAGACTACGTACAAAAAACCTTAATATATCGAATATAAACAAGAGATGCAACGTAAATTTAAGAGCAAAAACCAAAAAAAAAAAAAAACATTGTGGCTCCAGTTTTATATAAATCATAATATATTTTTTTTATCTCAAAATCGTCTGCTTTAAATTTTCATTTTCTGCTTTTTATTTATTTTAACTCTTAGTTCTTTTAAAACTTCTGGTTTATGTTATTTATAAATTTATATCAAGAAATTAATTCTCTCCACCAACTGCCGCTTCGGATGTTTGTGAATTCTTAATGTAATTTATTATTGCCAAGAATTTGAATAAATTTGTCATAAAATTTCATTTGAAATTGTAGAAATCAGACATTTCGTTAATTAAAATAATCAAATAACTATTTTTCAAACAAAGCTTATAAACATATGTATATACACACCATATACTATATTTAATCACTCGCCCACAATAAAATTTTCTAAATTCCAAAAAATAATAGTTACATTTAAACTCGTAATTAACTTTTCAATGATATTGTTATTGAAAGTTCTCTTCCGTATATTTGCTTACACAACCCTACATAAGTATGTATATTGTATTTAAGAGCAAATGCAAGAGCTAATAGCAAATACAGCATAACTAATATAGGTGTACTCATTAGGGTGGGTCAAAAAAAAATCCGCATGGTTTTTTTTTGCTTGCTACTGCGAAAAATTGGTTGGTAGACACCTCAAAGAAACGCTCTCCAAGTATTAGATATTAATTGAAACTGGAAGGTTCTCCGCTTTATCGTTATTTATTTTTTTCTTCTGATCGGAGATGGCGGTAAAGCGGAGGACCTTCCCGTTACAATTAAGAGCTAATCCTTGAAGAGCGTTTTTTAGAAGTCTCTACTAACTAATTTTTCGGAGTATGAAGCAAAAATAGAACATTAGTTTTTTTTTAGCCACCCTAATATTCTTGTAACTATGCTAACCGTTATTTGCTCAAATAAATGTAAATATGTAAGTATGTTTTCGATTTCCAGAAAACACTTGCTGTAGGGATATACCTGAATTCTCATTAAATCATGTCTACGCTCTTCGGCATTATTGCTGGTTACTGGAATTCATATTTACATTGAATTCACGATTCAACACTTTACAGCCGACAAAACCAACACTTGAGTAAGGTGTAGTGTTTAGTAAGAGTATACAATGGGCGATTAAAATGCAAGTTAATACCATGTGCAAAAAGTATGGGTATATGCAACCACAGAACTAAATTATTGCTTTTTAACAAGGTTATTTCAATCACAGATACATACATATACGCACGTTCAACATTACATATATTCAAACGATTAATTAGATATAGTGTTTTACTTCGATATATTTTTTATTTTACTCTGATTACATCCGTGTTCTCTACTTGAGTTAACATTCAATATTTTTTAGCACTAAAAAATGCATATATCTATAATTATTTACATTTTCCAAATTAAAGTGCTATTTTCGCGGTATATCAAGATTAGAAGATGAGATATATTTATAAGATTTATTTTTTATAGAATTAATAATACCGGATTGGAAAAAAAATGTTTATCGCAAGTTTGTAATTCAAAATGAAGAAAAGAAATTGTTTTAGAATTTATATTTTTCGCGTTGCGTACTTCATGTTTCTTTATTAGTGTTACTTTTTTAAAAGGTAAGTTTATTTTTATTACAATAATATATCAACATAATTTAGCAATCTATGACGTTTTTACATTTAAGTACCATTAATTATAGTGTTTCAGTTAAAAATACATAAAATAATCGCTTTTTTCACATAAGTTCGCAAACTGTTACGTATTTGGTGTTAGATGCTGTAATTGCTAATTAGGAGAGTTGCCAACTACACTAAATACTTTTTTTATGTGTTGAAAAGACTCAAATTGGGTAAAAAAATGGGTTCTCCGTTTGCATATCTCCACCCGTTTACGCCAATTTTCGATGACCCGGTGCGTTGTCTTCGAGCTCCTCGAGCGTTGCTGGTTGATTGGGGTAAATCTTGGATTTAACAAACTCCAGAGAAAATACTATAGAGGCTTTAAATCGCTTGATCTTGGCGGCCATTATTTCTCTAAATTACCGGGTCACCAAACTTTGCACGCAATGTGGCCATGTTCAAGCGTTGAGCATGAGGCGGCTCACCGTCTTGTTGGAAATAGAGATTTCATCAAATTCCGGGTAAAAAAAGTCGGTCAACATCGTCTTATACGGCTCTATAGTGATGATAACGGCATTTCCTGCCTTATTTCAAAAGAAATAAGCCCCGATGATGAAACCATACTGAAATTCGCAACAAACGGTCAATATTCGGGAATGCAATTTGATTCCCTGAACCACACGAGTATTTGTCTCATCTCAATAGCGATACTTTTGTTTGTTGACGAAGCCATTAACTTAGAAATGAGCCTCATCTGAGAAGATGATTTTTCGAAAAAAAATTTTTTTTTAACATCTAGACTCACTTACCCACTCACTTTTAAAGTAAATTTCTTAGATGTTAAAAAAAAAAATGTTTTCCAAAAATTTTCTTTTGTATAATCTACAAACTTTACCCTCAGGCTAAGCAAACAATTTTTTTTCCGGTCCACCCTAATGTATATATATTCTAGAGGGAAGCAAACTGCTCTTTTTCTTCAAAACTCCGGGTATTTCCGGGTATGTGACAAATGCTTTTACTTCTATAACCGAATTATATAATTTGCTGTTTTTCCATTAATATATAAATTAGCAATAAACAGAGTGAACTTACATTCTTGCTGCCGTGTAAATGGCGAGTGCAACTAATTGTTTCAATAAGATAATTAAAGAAGAATATAAGCTTAAGGCCCACCTTTGCGATACTGAGCTTTAGAGCTTTTCCTGAACATACACTCTTTTAGCGATATCTCTTTATTATCAATAAAACTATCACAAACACTACACATCACTTATACAAACTTGCTTTGCCCTGCAGCACCGGAGCACTAATTCTCATCTGTGAACCATTCACGCTCACCATTTAACACACAACACTGATTATACGAATAATATGCTTATTTTAAGCTAAAAGCACTTAACACTACGCTATTTGCGATATAAATTCTAATTATTTGGACTTTCACTGCTCATTTCACATCTGCAACAAAATTTGCACACGCGAATTGGAAATTTATGTGCGACGTTTGAACTGGCAGCGGAAACTGACAGGCATACATATCTAGCTGGAAAGAGGAGAGCACAGACAGTCTGTCAAAATATATTTAAGTTAGTTTTCAGTAGCAACTTGCCTGTAATATGATATAAAATTGTAGTATTTATTTTGAAAAACGAAAATACTTTATTTGAGGCTATTCAAAAAACGATGGGCCACAAAAAAATTATTAAATTAAATATGATAAGAAAAGTGTGCTTAATGAAAGCTTCTAAAAGAACTTAAAATTTTTGTTTTTTAAAGTATTTTAATTAAAATGTATGTAATGTGTACTGAAAAACTTAAATTAGTTAGGTATAAGATGAAGATAGAAAGTATATACCTATATTAATGCTCAGCGGGACGAGCTGAGTCGATCTGTCTGTCTGTATATACGCGAATAGTCTCTCAGTTTTTGAGACATCGATCTGAAATTTTTCACCCGTCTTTTTATTTTCAAGAAGCTGCTCACTTGTCGGAATGATCAATTGTTTGTATGGAAAACTTTTTTAAGATATCTTTCCGAAATTTTGCATGGGCTATTGCTTAAGGCAATGGTTCAATCTCTGAAGAAATTGTTCCGATCGGAACATCATAGCATATAGCTGCCATACAAACGGAACGATCAAAATCTAGTTCTTATAGGGAATATTTTGTATTTTTGAAGGGTATTACGGCTTCAGTGCAACCGAAGTTTACGCTTTTTCTGGTTTTTTACATGAACATGTTGATCTGGATGTTGCGCCATCTATCGTCCGTCGGTAAAAATGGCTTAAGAATTTAACTGTTAGTATTCACAAGTGTGCTAATTACTCCGACAGGGAAGTAAACGGAAATATTATATATCAATTTTGCCAATTGTTTGATAAAAATTGCTTAGCGTTTTTTATTAAAAGAGGATACAATAGACGTATAACACAAGAATCGTCAAACACTAAATATTAGTTTAATTTATAAAAAATCCGATTATTTATTTCACAAAAAACATTGTGCATTTTTAATTAGATTACAAATAACAAATTTTATGCGCCATATTTTCTTATTAAATGTAGCCACGAATTTTTTCTGAATTTCCATAAATTTTATTTTCTTTCAGAGGAAAAAACAATAAATTTTAATAATTTTATGATATTACTGCTTACTTATTACTTTTGTATGAAACAAGCTTTATAAAAATATTTTTTGATTTTCTTGACTACACAATACTGCAAGTATACATTGTATAGTGAATACTCCAACCGATGTATTTTCCAGTTTCCATAGCTCTTCCAATTGTCGCGCAGATTTTTTTGATGTGCCATTGAAAAGTTTAAGAACATTTTTTTCATTATCATTATTTTTTCATGATAATTCTACATTTTGTGTTAAAACAAGTTTTATAGGATTAATGAAAATCTGCGCTTTAGGAGCTCGTGTTTGCTGTGGATGTACTGTGCAGGTAAAGAGAAAAATGAATACTGGTGCTTATAATAAAAATAAAATATGTGTTGAGTATATATTCTGTGGTTTCTAGAACAAATCTAGTATCAATGTGGCTCCAAAATTTTGACTATTTTAACGTTTCGAAACTCCTGGTATTTTGCTTCTTATCATAATTAATGAAGCTTAAAATTCAATGCAATTATGCGAGTGGTATACATTGAAAAAAGCGGGTTTTGCTTTTTTTTTTTTGAAGAGGCGTTTTAGTTATTAAATCAATAAAATATGTGAATTCACTGAATTTCATGTATTTTAATAAACGGAATAACTTAGAAAAACTTTGAATATTCCCTAACCGATCTCCAAACGGACCACCGGAACGCGGTGTCAGGCGTTAAGGAAAATCTATTAAAAATTCCAAATACCATAAAAACGATATTATTATAAACAAATACCGGTAATGATCGAAGGACTGGGTGGCTTAAAAATCGAAATTTTTATCAATAATCGTATTCGTATCCTGTATCTAAGGTGATGTGAAAATTTCAATCGGAGAAATTTTCGTCACCGACTCTGAAAACAACGTTTCGAGAAACACGCCTTTAAATATTAGAAGCCGCTTTCATTAAGCTAAAAGATTCTTACAAATGTGTTCATATATCCGAAACTATTTGCCGTATCAATATTAAATTTTTTGAGAATATTCTCAAACATTTATATAAATTTAATTCACAAGTGGATAGAACACCTTAAAGGGTTATGCCAGTCTAGAGCCCTCCTGTAAGGTCTAAATTTGAAAATTTATTCTGGGTGTGTAGAAAAAGCAATGGAATTTCTCCTCTTCAAAATGGCGCATATTCGGTCAATCTTCGAAAATCAAAACGTACTATCTGAAACAAAATATAAAACGGAATGAAACATTTTTTCACCACGCTATGTTGTTAATATTTACTTTAAGCCAAAAAAAATCTACTTTTTAAAAATTCTTGACAAGTCAACGCCTATAAGGAGACATCAAAGCGATTTTTGACTCGTTACTTCTCTGCATTCATTGCTTATGGAAGCGAAAACAGAGTCCAATTCATTGTAGGAGAGGGGAATAATTTCTTTCTATTCTATTTGAATAAATCTGTGTATTATAATTATATAAGTTTTTTGTTCGATTTACCACTCTCCCACAATTGATTGTACGTAGATATTTTGCAAACAAATTATGTTAAAAAATTTCTATCATTATGTATAAGTATAATCAATATGAACCTTTTTGCCTCTCACTGTTAACTTATACAGCTGAGGAGTCATGATCCAACTATACATGCATTAAATATATTATTACATAAGTGGATACATACGTACGTGCCAACAACCAAAAGACTTATCATTTTTTATCTCTCTGTTGTGGTTTAATGCTGCATGACTAAGGCCATTTTACCGTTCATTGTAAGCAGATATAATATTGAGGTTGCTTTTCCAGCAATGCGAATAAAGCCTTCAATTCACTATAAGCGAAAAGCTGCTGCTTCTTTTGTTAAATATAAAGATAAGCTGCTTTTACACGCTACTAATTGCAAACTAATTGTTTGCTCTCTGATTTGACCATTGCAGATATGAATATTTTCCCGGTTTCTCTGGCGAAGAGATATGGAATCCTAACACAAATGTCTCCGAAGATTGCCTGTACATAAACGTGTGGGCGCCAGCGAAAGCGCGTTTGCGGCACGGACGTGGCGCTAATGGCGGTGAGGTGAGTGTGGCTTCTAACAATTTTCAATTTATTAGAACACAAGCTAACTAACTGCAGCACACACTGCACATATTGTAATATTGCCAACTCATTCATTTCCTTCTTATATTTCCTTTCATAATAAATTTCACTTTCAGCACTCCAATAAAGCTGACACTGATCATTTGATACACAACGGAAATCCGCAGAATATCACAAATGGCTTACCCGTGCTTATTTGGATTTACGGTGGTGGCTTCATGACCGGCACTGCCACACTGGATATATACAATGCGGACATTATGTCGGCTGTGGGTAATGTCATTGTGGCTTCGTTTCAATATCGTGTGGGCGCTTTTGGTTTCCTGCACCTGTCACCCGCTATGCCGGGCTACGAGGAGGAGGCACCCGGCAATGTGGGGTTGTGGGATCAGGCATTGGCTATACGTTGGCTGAAAACGAATGCTCACGCTTTCGGCGGTAATCCCGAGTGGATGACACTTTTTGGTGAATCGGCTGGTTCGAGTTCGGTGAATGCGCAACTTGTGTCGCCAGTGACGGCGGGTTTGGTGAAGCGGGGCATGATGCAATCGGGCACAATGAATGCGCCCTGGAGTCATATGACGTCGGAGAAGGCCGTAGAGATTGGCAAGGCGTTAATCAACGACTGCAATTGTAATGCGTCGCTATTGTCGGTGAGTTGGGGAAATAATTTTAATTTTCTATTTCATTAGAGAAATAAGCAGAATTATTGAGTCAAGAAGAAAAGTTTGAAATATTAAAAGCTAAAAATAGATTAAGAGCGGAAAAATGCTGTACAGTTTCCTGCCTTGTTACTTTCTGAGTAAATTATTAGATATTGCTTAGAAGAATCAATTGGTATTTTTTGCTGTCAACTAAGGCAAAAATGGATCCTTAGTTGAATACATTACCACCATCACTTTTTTAGGCTCGTTGAACTAAACAAATATTTTTAGTATTAATTTTTTGTCAGTTTTTATACCTGTAGCAGGGTATATTAAGTTTGCCACGAAGTTTGGAACACCTTGAAGGTAACGTCGGCGACCTTATAAAATATATACATAAATAATCAGCATGATGAGCTGAGTTGATTAAGCCATGTCCGTTTGCTCTCAGTTTTTGAGCTTACGATCTGATATCCATTTTTCTCCCAGAACTTTAGCATATAGCTGCCATACAAACTGAACGATCGGCATCAAGTGCTTTTATGAAAAATTGTTTTATTTGAACTTGTTAACGATTCCAAGATATTTTACCAAATTTAATTTAATAACATAATATTTTTAAATAGTTACCTTGTTTATAAATTTTCTTCAGGAAAATCCACAAGCTGTGATGGCCTGCATGCGCGCTGTCGACGCCAAAACGATTTCGGTGCAACAATGGAACTCCTACTCGGGTATTTTAAGTTTTCCATCTGCGCCGACCATTGATGGCGCATTTTTGCCAGATCACCCCATGAAAATGATGGAGACAGCCGATCTACGTGGCTATGACATACTGATGGGAAATGTCAGAGACGAAGGTAAGTTATATTAAATAATTATTAAAGTGGAAAAGGGTTCAATAATGTCGTAGTAAAAAAATACTGTGTTCTTTATTGCATCATACAGTGTAGTACATTCGTAAATGGGTCGGAGGTGAAAAACGAACGAAAAAGAAAGTAGCTTAGCTTATACTATTTTTATACTCTCGCAACCTGTTGGTACAGAGTATAATAGTTTTGTTCACCTAACGGTTGCTTGTATCACTTAAAACTAATCAAGTTAGATATAGGGTTATGTATATATAAATGATCAGGATGAAGAGACGAGTTGAAATCCGGGTGACTGTCTGTCCGTCCCGTCCGTCTGTCCGTCCGTCCGTGCAAGCTCTAACTTCGCTTGGTATTGAAGATGGGCGTAATCGGACCACTGCCACGCCCGCAAAACGCCATAAATCAAAAATAAATAAATTGCCATAACTAAGCTCCACAATAAGATACAAGACTGTTATTTGGTACACAGGATCATATTAGGGAGGGGCATCTGCAGTTAAATTTTTTTTTTGAAAGTGAGCGTGGTCCCGCCCCTTAATAGGTTTAATGTGCATAGCTCCTAAGCCGCTAAAGCTATAATAACTAAATTCACTGGGGACCGCCCAATTTTAAGTGAAAATTCATATCTTGGGATCTGCCTAACCGATTTAAACTAAATTTGGTACATAACATTATTCTCATTATTATTCTATTTCTATGTTATAGGGCGAAAATGGGCGAAATCGGTTTACAATTACGCCTATTTCCCATATAACATCATTTTAAATTCCATCTGATTTTTTCACTTTCCAGAATGCAAATCAAGCAACAATGATTAAATCGGCGTAAAAAATTACGTGAATAATGTGTTTAAAATGTGCCATCGTGTGACTAAAAATTGTCTAAATCGAACCAAAACTGTTCAAGCCCCTGGATACTAAATATGTAGACCCCAGTGCCTGTAGTTAACTTTTTACCGAAAATATCGGTCAATGTGGAGGATATATATTTGATATAATAAAATAAATTAATTAATCCTTCGATAATAGTATGTTATGTGTCAAAAATGGGTTGAATCGGATCAATACTTCCTTTAATATAAAATTTGATTCTTGCAAGCTGCGAGAGTATAAAATGTTCGGTTACACCCGAACTTAGAACTTCCTTACTTGTTTCGTTGCTATTTGATAATTAGTGGTTTTTATGTGAACAAATTTAAATTAAAAAAAAAACAAAACTAATAAAATGTAAGAAATTAGAAAGAGAACTACATCAGAAATGACTGGAAGTTATCCTCGATATCCGGCCAATACATATTCCAGTGAAGTATGATGTAATACTTCCGGCCAGTCGGCACATGATTTTAGATCGTTGGAGCCAAACTCGGCGTCACTACGGGCGCTGGGACTGAATTGGCAATGCGACCATGAGGAATTACACACAACGTTTTCATTCCCCAGTAGTGAAGAATGGATCAATGTTTCTGTGACCGACAGTACTAATGACGAAATTTATGCATTTATCGACCTATCAAGAGGTGAAATAGCACCTGCTCCTATTTCACGTGCTTCTTCTGTAGTAATCCATAAACAAAAGTAGCTTTAAGCAAAATGCTTACAATTCAGTCTTTCAGGTTTCAATTAAGACTATACGTAGCGCCAATACTAGGTTATTCAAGCAGGGAGTAACTAGACTCTCAGTAGGTAACTCGGTTTATATCATCTGGTTGTCCAGTCATATTAGCATAGAAGAAAACGAAAAGCCAGACGAGGTCAGGTAGGAACAAAATTCCTGTAAGCTGCCCCAGACCATTCAGATCATTCGGGTTGCTTGAAACAATCACCCCTAGAGGAACACCTCAGGTCTTGGAACACTACCAACACAAGGTATACTATAACGTTTCTTTGGGGTAGTGTTGATGGTGAACAGACCGATAAGCTTCTACTTCTAGGCAAAAGAGAAGTAGGACCTTTGAATTGAAAAAGTGAATTCGACGGAATGCAGAGCATGCGCGAATGACCTCAATTTTAGTTAAAATTCACATAAAAACGTTATAAAAAAAATACCAATCGAAAAATTGAAGTTACGTTACTACTTCAATCCTTGTTATAACACCAGAAATGCACATACAAACATCTAATTGTCATATATTTTAATAAAATCAGCAGTAAAGTTGGTGGAAACATACAAACACACATCCCAGGACACAAAGACAACTTTGCAAAAAAAAGTTTCGCCTAATAAAGTCAACGACTTTCCGCCATCATATCCGCGCCATAAGGGCACATGCCAAAAATAACAAAAATAACTAGTCTCACAACGACAATGGAGTTGGTGTTGCTGCAAAGTGTGGCAGCTGGCGCTAAGTGCACTTTCAAACACTTCATGCCGCTACTACTTGTATGAATATGTATGTATGTGCAGGTATAAATGTCTACTTGTGCGCATGCAACCGCTAAAATAGACTGGCAACAGTCAACTTCCTGTCGCATGCACTTCATTCGCGTTAGTGGCGCGAGACACAGTTGCCAGTTGCAACAAACAATTCATGGTTTGTGGTTTTTGTTGTTATTTTTGTTTAGCTGCTGCTCCATTTTCCAAAATTACTTTGTTTCCCCATTTGAGCGGCACTAAAGTGGTAATGGCGAAATGGGTGAAGCCTGCATACAAGTGTGTCTCTGTGTATTTATGTGCGCTGCGAGAAGGAAACGCGGCAGGATGCTGCATTATTGCAACTATTACTCTGACGTCAGAGTTGCCCCAGAAAAACGAGCCGATGCTAGGTTGAGTGTTGCCAGTTTAAGCTCAAAGTGACTTCCGAAGCATTGGACGCGGGAAAGGAGGAGATAGAGGGAGATATAAAAAATAGGCCATAAAATGTGACTTGCCGCTGTAGGCTGCTTTGCTGGACCGGTTCATAAGGGAATGGGGATAACAATATTATGACTGTGTCATTTATATGGTATATATTTATGCGGTTATGTGTATAAGTATGTATGTGTACAATTTTATATATGTTGCGGTGCAGAACTCATTCGCTTGCAATGATTTCGCGCAGCCCATATTTTTTATGCTTAAATGCAGCGTTTTCGTAGTTTATGACGCGCGCTCACACTATAAAAAATTTGCGAAATTGCAATGTGCGATTATGGCGAAGCAGCAGGGGAGCACATTCGCAAAATGAATGCCAGTGTTGCCATTCCTTATAATCTTTTTTTAATATTATATTTTTTATTAGTCTATTGGGCGGCATAACTTGTTATGGTCTGTTATTTAACTTTGTGTTGGAATATTTGAAGTTTATTTTAGATTTTATTTATGAAATTATATTATATATAATATCTTCAATCTAAATTTTTGGGAATCACTTATCTTTAAAATTATGTATATATTTCTCTTTAACCTTCTTAAGTCACAATTTTTCAAGGCTTCATTGTTTTTAAATATATTTCCAATTTCTTGGATTGTTTCTTTGGGTCTCAGCTTTAAATCAAATTTTTAAATATGAGTAACCCTGCGAGCGGCACTTTACATATCCTAGGTATCTCTAGGAAATCTCTTCGTACTAGTTAAGATATTTTGATTTTTTAATATTAGTATTTAGTTCTAAGTTAATAAGTTCAATTAATCTTTTTTAAGGTATTGTAATTAAATTCTAAATGCCTTCTATACCTATATTACAATTTCTTCAACCGTATTCGATAAACAACAAATTTATTGCCGCTTTGAGCTATTCGTTATCAGAATTTTTTTCGAAAATATTTTTTTTTTAAACTAATTTTTCCGCAAATCGTTTTTTCGAAAATCTTTGTTTTCGAACATCTTTTTTTCAAAAATATATTTTTTCGAAAACCTTTTTTTTTGAAAATTTTATTTTTGTAAAACTTTTTTGTTTTTTATTAAGGAAAATATAAATTTTCAGTTCTGATTTTTTAATTGAAACATTGAATTTTTTTAAATGGGAAATAGGGCTCTGATTTTCACAGGCGTCTTTTTACATCTCCAAGAAAGTTTTTACGTGACGATTTCGAAAAAAAAAATTACATTTTTTTTTTGAATCATTCTATCATATATGTAGCATAAATATATCCTTTAGTATAAGTTTCTCCATTTTTCTTACAAAATAATTCTCTTCTGTTGTATGATCAGTTACTAGGCTGCCTAAACGAGTGTCATCTTCACTATTCTCTCTGAAATTTTTAAAACGGTAATTTCATTATCGTAAAACGGTATTTTTTTCGAAAATATTTTTGTTTTATAAATTTATCTTTGTTTATAAGAGATTTATTTTTTTATTTTTTACCGTTATAATATATAAATCTTCACACATTTGATCGGAAAGTAGAAAATTGAAAACAATGGTTGATTCCAACTTCATATCGATTTTGAACTAGAAATTCCTAAAAAAATTAGACACTTTTATTGCTATAATATATAATCGAAAAGAGAATAATATCTACTGAACATAAAGCAAAGGGAATCCGCAAAATGTTCGTTTTATATATTTTTTGTGCATCAGAAATTAGTCTGGCAACTCTACTCAAATGTTGTGATATATTAGCCCACTACTTACTATGGTTAAACAAAGTTTTCTACACAAAACAAATGCAACTACATACATAGCACATATCACAAAATGCAGAGCACAGCTTATCAATATGAGAGAAAAGTAAATATGTGTGTGACTAAAAAGAAGGAATTGCTTCTCCGCTGGGTAATAAATGTGCACATCAAAAACATGGTCCATTGTAATATTTCACATTTGCCAACAATATTTTGCTCTGGCGTGCATTTTTTCGTATAAATTTCCAAACTTTGTTACACAACGATATGAAAACACACACGCACACCTTCATATGTACTCGTACACATGTACATTACTGAAACAATTCTTTTGTGATAATCCACTTTTGGTAAAATGTGAATGTAAAATTTTTCTGACCAGCAGACTTATGATAAGATAACTGGAGTAAAAAGTTGCTAACACACATTTTTAGTAGCAAACACAC